TTATAGACCCTACCCTAGACACTTTTGGGCAAATGTAACTTTAAATCCTATAGTAACTATTGAAAATGCAACCCCATTCCAGTCGATCCAGACGTGAAAATGCAATCCCATCCGGCGGCAAATCCCCAACAGCCTCTTATTAGGAAGTAAGAGGCACAGTAAATACACAGAGGACAACAATAAATACCTATGAGCCATTTAGTTACAACCACAGTGTTTTGAGATCACCTGAAGATTTCAATTCTTTCTCAGACTTCTAAAAGCAATGGATAAATTAAACTCTTACCAATCCCGGTTGGTAGTGTTTTTTTTTTTAGAGCTACAGATCTTTCGGGAATATTCTGTCTGCTTGATCTTTTGGAAATATGTGAATGAAATCTCTGAGAGACGAAGCAAAAGCAGCGAAATTCGACGGCCACTATAGTGTCTACTTGATATGAACGTAAACACTTCGATGTCATTTTAACTTGCAAGTAATGAAATATCCCGCAAACACGCGAGAAATTCCCAAACTGATACCCAGTCTCTTTCTACCTTTGTTGATTTATAAATAGGCGAACAAAATTTTTATTTCATTTTATTTCTTTTTTTCTTTTCTTTCATTAAAATCTTCAAATGTAGTTTTACACGTATCGTTGGACTTTCAGTTTTCTTATTCGTTCGTTTGAATAATTCGCGTATTTGATAGACCATCGTAGAAATATGAATTGTCTTCGCTAGTAGCTCTCATTTCTGTCAAATGAAAAAATTTTGTATTTTTCTTCAAGGGAAAGAATTGCGTAGGCAATTAGCGAGAAAACTCTCTCTTAAATTGATCGAGGGAAAGTTTACTCCGTACCATTGGGGTAAGGAGTAAGTTTACTGGCACTTGTGATATATCATATCGTCTCTGTCTTCTTTCTTTTACATGTGCCTAAATGATCAGAAAATGGGTCGGTGCGGATAATTCTTTTTAAAAGGCAAAAACGATATTTTAAGGATATCGTGAGATGGTTAGGCGTGTGGATGCAATGAGAGGAACTCTGTTCTTACCTAAAGCCAGAGGAATTCCAAACAGCAAGGCAAGGAAAGCCAGCTTAAGGAGTAGCTCGAGATGAATCTCAGCCATAATTTGCTTCAGTCAGCAGAAGGCGTCCACGACTGTTTTCCCTCTATGGGTCGTACACTCAAACTTCCTTTTAGTGCGGTACAGCTTGAAACTTGCGAGTACCTCTTTACTTTGTATTATGATAGCACCGCTCCAAGTTTTTCAACGCAGGAAAGTTACTAATTTGCCACTTTCAGTAGCTGGTGCAGAAAGTAATTTGTGGGCTACTGAGGAAATGGGGATATAGGTATCGTAAAGAACTTTATTCTTTGCGTGTTACAAACGTGTCTATACCAGTTTTAGCTTAAATTACCTTTACGTCATCTTTTAATACGGCTTATTCACATTTTTAACAGTTAATGACTGGTTTTGTTTGGGCAAGTTTTTCAGCTGTACGTTTAGAGACATTTTACCTGCACTGCAAAAATCCGAAGCTAATACTTTGTTTATCCAGCAAGAAAAGCCGGAATACGAGTCGAACCAAGAAACCTTGCTACCCGTGTTGTGCTCGTAGCTACTTAAAGCGATTTCTATACGATTATCTTTTTTTAAGTCGTGTTTAAACTAAGGATGATGTTTGTTTTAAACACGAGTTAGTGTTAGGGCTAGTGTGAAACTGAGAGTGCGTAAATGACAGATAAGTATAATATGACAATAATTTACAGTTCATTGACACTTAACACACGTCCACGTATTTTGTTACACTTTCTTTAACAGACAGTGCAAGTCATTTCTTAACTTACCCCTTACAGCCTGGTTTTATTTATGTCATTTATAGGGTAAATCGGCACGGATACGTAACAGAACAACAAGAAACAAAACTATTTACGGTAATAGTTTTGAAACTCCCTTCAACGGTTGGAATTTTGGTCGTCTTCCAATGTTGGGACTGTTCAACGCAACACATTGAGTACAAAGGAAACGATTAAGGGGGAAATGAATTCTTAACGAAAAGTAAAAGCAAGTCAACTGAACCCTCCATAGAAGAGATTTAGCTCTCGACTGGATTTTAAGCCA